GTGTAGTAGTAAAGAGCAGTGGATTCTAATCTGAAGAACTGCATTTGATTCCCCATTTCTCCACTTGAAGCCAGCTGGGTGACCTTGAGCCAATCACAGTTCTCTTCTGACACTCTTCTACTACAAGCTACTACTCAAAAAATAAAAACCTAGCTCACCACAAAAAGAGGTAGAGTTTCAGGTTGCCAGACAATCTTCGGATCTCCTGGCTATACTATACCCACTGCCATATGATAAGTTATTTAATTACCGGTATTAAGAAATAGGAAGCTTTAGGCCCATACTGATCACTAACATTACAAGTACATATGTCAGCAATAATTTTCTTGTGACATCCTAAGTTTTTAAAATATGTGATAATTAACTGAATCTGGTATTGCCTGCAGTGTGATGATTTTTGTAGAACCCTTGCCTCATATAGACATACATATGCTTATTGTCACCACTCTAATGGTTTCTTAATGAACATCAACATGCTCAGTATTATACGAGCTTTATAAATGTCATATTCTTATTTTACTTTACTTCATTTATGCCCCATTTTCCTCTCCTTAGGTACCTAAAGTGTTTACAACACTTCCCCCTTCTCCATGTTATCCTCAAAATAACTTTATGTGGTAGATTAGGCTGACTGTCCCAACATCACCCAGCAAGCTTCAATTATAGAGTGGGGATCTGATCCCAGGTCTCCCAGACCCTAGCCCAGCACCAGTGGGCAGTCTCCCCTCTCCCAAAATTACAAACCCAAGACTTCATGCGAGGAAAGGGCAATTCGGGCCCAGCAACTATGAGACTCAGGGCCAGCTAGTGGGGCCCAATTTGAAACTCTGGGGCCCAACTGGAAATTTTTTGTGGGGCCCCAGTTCACAGCCGAACTCTGCAGAATCTTAGAGATATAAATAAAATCCATCTAGATTGCCCTGGTGCAGGGGCCCGCTTAGGAGCGGCCCATGGGGCCCAATTTGGCCTTATTTCTCCAATTGCCTTAAGGCCAGCCCTGATGAGACTGTGCAGGGGTTGGACTGGTGCCACTATTCAGAGTACAGACTCCAGGACTCCAGAGCCAGCAGCCCAGAGTCAACAACCAGCATCACAGCCTTCATTAGTTCAAGCCTTCATTCACACTTCACAGAGCCCTGTTGGTGCCTGCAGCATGCACTTGCAACCCCTTTCTCAGAACTTCTTGGATATGAAAAGAAATATTGGTGGTGTCAATTGTTATGCCAATAAATCCAAACAATACTGCTTCATACATTAATAGTAGTATTAATTGTTCTAAAGCCATTGCAGAATCTAATCAAAGTTTTACATATTTGTTTTATATAACATTTTTTGGCAGTAGGCTCTTTTAAATGGCTAGTATTGATTGTTGGATAGGAGCCTGGTGTTTGCTGCTGCTGGAATTATTAGATGAGAAATTATAGTTAATTATTAACCTATGTTTTTGCATCATTTTCCAGCCTCCTAATTGCATGTGTCTTGGAGAAAATTATTTTGAATCGTTTTGGCAATTTTGGGAGTTTATAAACTTTTGAAAATGTTTAGATTGGAAAATGATGTTGTGCTATAGGGTTGGCTTGTTGGATGTGACAGAATAGATTCCATCTTGTGTTTGCTTTCGTTTAGGCTGTTTAGTTTAGTTAAAATGGCCACCCACCCTGGGAAGTAGGGCAAAACTCCAGTGTAGGCCTACAGAACCCAGATGCCTCTATGGCCAAATAATGCAGGAAAGCCAAGGGGCAGAGTCAGAAGATATAAATGCTACAGCCAGCCTGGGAGGGGGGAGTCATCCTGCAACCCTCAGAGAGGCCAGGAGTCTCTTGCTGCAGATTGCCCACAGGCAGAGAGAGGCCTTGGGGATCAGGGAAGGCAGCAGTGGGAAGGGATCCTCAGAGGGATCCAGAACTACCTGTAGAAGGAAGGAGGCCAGGCTGCAGGTTGGTAACTGAACCTCATCCCGAGGGAAAATAAGTATAGGGATCAGTTCAGGGACAGAGGAACTGCGTTTTGTCTTATTTTATTTGTGCCCGGTGGTGTTTTCCTTTCTGTGTTTGATTTAAAGTGCCTTTTTGTATTTAAAATTCTGTTACTTGTAAATAGTCATTAAAATTTCTGTTCTTTGTTTAAAACCCCAGTCTGGTGCTCTGACCACAGAGTGTCCCCCACTCTGCCCACTACTAGTGCCTTAAAAAGGGCCCTGGGAGGGGAAAAGCCCAAAAATGTGCAAGTGCCAACCCTCCAGGAGAAACCCAAAGTTAGGGGCCTTCATCTCCAAACCTCAGGGGTCAGCCAGAGGAGTCTCACTGCCCCTCAAAAAAGACATAGGGAAGTCAGTGAGTAGTGGCAGCTACTGAAGAGTGACAGAAGCTCACCAAGGAGGTGGGGAGCCGATGTGGGGCTCACGAGACACAAACCGGCTACTCAGTCCCCCAGGGCTGAGGGTGGGTGCCCGTTTCATCACAGTGGAAAACTGAATTCTGTAACCCTTCAGCAGCAACCATCCATACCTTGTGCCAATAGCCACTGATGGACCTCTGATCCATGTGTTCATCCAGTTGAAGATTCTAACCTGAGCATGAGTAAAAGATTTGAAAGTGGTACTAGCAAGCGCAAGAGACAGACTTGAAAATGCTATGGTAGTGAAGTTAAGACCAATCACTGCTTTCATGCATCAACCACTCATTGAAGCAACGAGAGCCATCAGTAAAGCTACCCAGCCTGAGCCAACTACTAGCATGCAACCAGACAAAAATCTCTCTGAAAGAGAAACAGCGAAGCAGGATGTGGAACAGCAAGCTGATTATGAGGAAGCAGCCATGATGCTAGCTCAAACTGAGAAGATAGAACTAATTCAAGTGTCACTTGAATGCCGCGGGCAGTCTTATGACAACGCTGCCAACATGGCTGGTAAGTATAATGGTATGCAGCAAAAAATCATTGAAAAAAACCAATTTGCAAGATTTATTCCATGGTGAGGATCACTCTTTAAATCTGGTGGGCCGTTCAGCTGTGGAATGCTGCCTTGATGCAGTGAACTGTTTTGGCATTATCAATGAAATTTATACCTTCTTTTCATCCTCCACAAACAGATGGGCAGTTCTAGAATCATTTTTGCCACCTCAGTCTAAAGTGCCTAAATATTTGTCAGACACTATGTGGGACACACACGCAAAAGCCACAGAAGCTGTTTTGGAAAGTTACAGTGCTATCACTGATGCCCTCAGTCATTTGTACTCTGACGTTAATGAGAAGGGGGAGACCAGGCTTCAAGCTAACAATCTTTTGCAGAAAATGGAAGAACTGGAATTTGTGTTTATGCTGCATTTTTGGACTTGTGTGCTAGGTCATTTTTACAAGGTCAGCAAAGCCTTTCAGAAATCAGACCTGTTGTTGAGTGCTTGTGCAAGTTTGTACAGTTCACTTCTGGATTTTTAAAGGAAAATTAGAGAAGATTTTGAAGAGCTTGAGAAAGAAGCAAATGCCACCTTGCCAAATGTTAACTACAAAACAAGGTGACAAAGAGTAAGGGAACGGCAAAGAAATGACAGACATGCACCTGATGCCTTAGATGCACTTTCTTCAAGAGATAACTTTAGGATAAAATCCTTTATTCCTATATTAGATGCACTTGAAGCCAATTTAAAAAGAAGAAGTACTGTGTACAGTGATGTTGCACAATTGTTTTCCATTCTTGCTAATCTGACAGTATCTAAGCAAGGAATTCAGCAAGGTGTTGAAATGCTGATGGAAGCATACCCAGGATATATTGACCTGAAACGTAATGATGAACTTTTGCACTTTCACCTGTACGTGAGACAAAACCATAGGCTTACAGAAGAGCGCTCTCTGTCTCGTACATACCTTTTTCAAATTATATACAAGGAAAAGATTCAGATGGCCTTTCCTAATGTGGAAGCAATCTTGCGGCTATTTCTTAGCTTTATGGTCACTAACTGCTCAGGAGAGAGGAGTTTTTCAAGACTCAAAAGAATTAAAAATTAATTAAGGGCTACGATGACTCAAGAGAGGTTGTCCGCACTGAGCATTCTGTACATTGAAAGTGACAAACTTAGGCAAACAAATTTTGATGACGTTTTGGATGATTTTGCTATGAGGAAGGCTAGAAAAAAACATTGTTAGTCTTATTGTATTTGATGGTTGTAGTTTACTTCTTAATATGTATTTTAAAACTGACTGTTTAATGACAACATAAAGTAGATTCTAAAAGATCCACACTGTGAGGTAATCATGATCATATTATTTACACTTTCCAGGCAATATAATTTGTAAACTCAATGTTTTGTTTTTTTAAGAATAACATTACTACTTCATTTTCCTAAAAAAAAATGCTTATTCCACAAACGGTTTACAAAGTTCAGTTATTGCAAAAGTTTTTCAGTGTTAATTTTAACATTTATGCATTTTTTCAATCACTGTTGTATTTAACAATAACATCTTATGTCCTTTAGAGGAGAAATTGTGAATTGCAGAATTTTAAATACCCGTCATCATTCTTGGCTTCACTCAATTTTCTTTATAACACTCTTCCATTTTCTTCTAGTTGTGAGGGTAGGGGATTGGGAGGGGCCTCACAAGTGGAGTAGCCTTGGGGCTCTTCATCTAAATCTGGCCCTGTCCAACACACACCATACTGACTCTCACTAGTATTGTTGTTACTGTTTTGAATATTTTGCCATGTGAAGGCCAAAAATAATGGAACCAACGCATGATTTCTGTCTTTTGCATTTCTCTCTCCAAAATTCTCTTAATTCTTTGTATAATAGGAAAAAATGATATTTTTTTGTTTTTTGCTTGGTATAAGGTTATATCCCAATCATAAAATTTAATTTTATAACTATAATGTACAGTATTAGCCAGATAGGATCATGAAGAATATTTTTGTAGTCCGTTGTGTAATTGAGAAATACTGGAACATGAACAAAGCTATCTTCCCCCCCCCCAAAAAAAAACATGTTTAATTTTTTGTGTGTGCTTGACAGCTGGTTAGTGACATGTTTACAGCAACACTAAAAATATCATCATCTTCTTCCACAGCTTCCAAAACTCTTATAAACAGTATGCTACGGGACCCTTCACAGATTCCAGATGGAGTTCTAGCAAACCAGGTCTATCAGGTATTCATCACAGCCATCCTTTTTCAGTAGCAGTGCTGTTATCTGCCTAGCAGTGTAAAGGATTTTAAACCTCATTTAATTACTGTCATCATAATCTATCACTGGGGTCAGGATGCTCCATAAATGGCAATGCAATATTTGTGAAGAGAGCATTTCACTTTTTAATAGCTTTTTTAAAATAGGGAATAAAGAGTGTGCAATTTTTGTTTTCTGTGATTAAATCTGAACAGCTTTTGAAGAAAAGTAATTACTGTTTTTAGGATACTGTGTAGCTATAATAGTTTTGTAGTTACTCATCACTGTACTACTTCTCTTATTTGTCTGCAGTGTACTGTGAATGACTATTGTTATGGACCACTGGTGGACTGCATCAAACAGTATCCTTTCCCATAAAATTTTAGGTGAACAATTGATGAGCTTAGACTCTGTGGAAGAGACGTGTCTAGCTTTAACCTGACATAAAGTTCTGCTTCAAAAAACACATTTCATACTCCTCTATTTTATATTCAGTCAGCTACTGGAGGGTCACTGCAGACCCCTTCTCTTGCTCTGCTTAACTAAAATCAGATATGCCATATGAAAGTTGTCAGTTCAGTAGATATACATTTCCTGTCCTTAGATAGAATCCTTTTTTGCTGTTGGTAACATAAATACATAATCTTGTATTAAATTATTAGCTGTCATAATATACATAGATTTACAAGAACTCTTAGCTGCTTTTCATTTTCCATTGGATAAAGCGCATTTGAATTTCTGGTTTTTAAAAGTGACAGTCTCTGACCTACCAACCACCTGCTGTGTTGCTTCTATCCTTAAAGGGTAACAGAGTCCAAGAGGTGCCATAGAGAAAGTTAATGAAAACAAAGAGGATTGTAAAACATTAATGTGGGATGAGTGATTTAGACTAGAGTCTTGCTTGATTGTTAGAATGAAGAATCTTTGATTGAACAAGATGTGCAATTCTGTTCCAAATATCTGTGATCTATACTGGGTAGAGTATTCCATTTAGTTCTCATATTTCACATTAGAAACCTATAGAAAACTCTTTCTAAGAGTCTAGGAAGGTAAGATAAGAAATTGTTCCAGCAGCACCAGGACCATAAAGCTAATAGATATGCATACTAAAATAATCTTTACTTTAAATGTAACTCATTCTTTGGGACCATAGTAATGACTAAACATAAAGCTGATTTGTTTATTTTGATAACTCACTCTATTTCATGAGTTCAGTGCAGGGAATGGACTTCAAAAAGCGGCCCTTGATTACAAAAGGCTGGCAGTCTAATGGTAATGGAAATAACTGTCAGTTGTGTCTCTTGCTCTTACAGATCTCCACTTGTGTGCATCTCTTTTCTCCTTGTGAAGATCTGTCCTCAACCCCCTCATCTTCAGTCAGTAATGGAATGGGTTAATTTCAAAGAGAGATGAAAGCAGCCCTTTGGGAATTGTTTTGTGACAAATCTAATAAGCTATTCTTATTATGATGCCCTTGAGAGAGAGATTAATATAGCACTGCCATGCTGTCCTTGGTCCTCAGACTCCCTCGTCTCCTGGCTTGGAAGGCACCACACTTAAATGTGAGAGTGGTTTTTTTTTGGTGATCCAGGCAGCCCAAGTCACATAGTCAACCGTTTAAGTAAGAGTAGTACGAAGGCTTGGGTTCAAATCCCTTTTCAGCCATGAACATGCACAGGAAGCAGCCTTATACTGGATTGGACAACTGGTCTATTGAAGTCTGTATTGTCCACTCAGACTGGCAGCAGCTCTCTAGGATTTCAGGTAGAGGGTTTTTCACATCACCTACTACCTGATCCTTTTAGCTGGAGTTGGCAGGAATTTAACCTGGAGCCTTCTGCATGCAAAGCAGATGCTCTGCCACTGGGCCACAGCACCTCCCGCATGATGGTGATTGGCACTGCCATCCTAAACAGAATCATACCATTCTAAATCCATTAAAGTCAATAGGCTTAGAAGGCTGTAGCTTGCCTTAGAAACACCTTAAGCATGTGGTTATATTAGGGTAGGGTTTATCCTAAACTAAGGTTTAGCCCACTTCACAGCTTGTTTTAAGGTTGGGCAGGGTATAAATCTGATAATAACTAAAATAAATAAATAAAAATAAAATTATATGGTGGTATTGATACACTACCTGGCCACTTGAATGTAAATGAAATCTGAACAAGTTAAAAAATAAATACAATGGGTTGGGTCCCCCAGTCCATCTTCTGCTATTGGAAGTGATGATTTATTTATTTTTTTGCCAGTTCTGTCCTCCCAATTCAGACCCTGGCATTGTACTTAAACTGTCCCCAAGTATTCATCTGTTCTCTGGAGCAGTATTCCAGGGATTGCTGGAGGAAGGGGGAGATTGGAAAATCTGTTCTGCAAGCAGAGGTTTGGATCAAGCCCTATATATTTAATTGTGGAGGAATGAAATCGTCCTCTGCTCCCTGCACTGCTTTATTAGTCAAGAAAGACTGGTGCAGGTTTGTTCTTCCATTCCCTGCTATGATCCACACCAGAGATCTGGCACGTTGCGTGGGGAGAAAAAAGTAATTCCTTTGTGTGCATTCTGCCATAATGTATTTAATATACATTGGGGATCATCTTAATTTCAGTTCAGTTCACCAATGGTAGCAGAAATAATTTAACAGTGAATAATAAAATGGTTATTGTTAGTTTGTTGTAGTAAAATTAGGTTATATCTAACTGTGTGAGAAGGTATTATCTGAGAATATATGGTGCTGAATTAGTTGTTAATTTTAAGGCATATAAAGTAGCTTAAATCAATTTAAAGTTAAGGTTTTAAAAGCATAATGTCTTCTAAGGATTGCATATTGATTTTAAATACAACTATCTAATTATATATGCATGGACTAAAGTATGAAGTCAACCTCTTTATAAATGCCAGGAGGCTATTTTTCAGTAATAGTTCAGATGCTTACGGGAAACTAGCCTGCTGGATTGCATGAGTACAAAATGGCTTGTGAGGTTATTTACAAGTTTTACCCCATGGTCAGTTCCATACATCAATAATAGGTATTGCTGTAGACTAAGTCTAAGTGTTTCTACTTATGGTGTATTATAAATTTTGCTTCTAGTATTTGTCTTATGTTTTTTGCCATCATTCATCTTCTTTGTTTGACTTTGTCATTAATTGTAAAGTTTAATGTGATTCATTATTTCAGTTTCAATGTTGGATTTGTTTCATGCAATTTTCTATTATTTTGTTTTTTGTAATCCAATTAAAGTGGTGCTTAAAGGCTGGCATTAAAATAATGAAAAATCTGTGCATAGTTAAATTATTGAAAATATTTAAATTGATAAGTTCATAGGTATTTAAAAACCTTCAAATTCTGCTTCTTTTTTGTATTTGGAACTAGTATTGATGACATTCTGGTGACAGATACATGCTGTGATAATTTTCAAAATAGTTCTGACTGGTTTCTAGTGAATTGATAGAAGTCAGGAGTTGTGTATTAATTCTTCTGTGCTATTCCTGCCTGTTAACGTTTAAGTCTTGTTATGCAGTGAATATTCTGGAAGTCTGTGCCCTGTATCTCAAATCGGCCTTGCTTTAACTGTGGTGTGGTGAGATTTATGATTGTTTTACTAGTTTTCTGAAAAGGTTTCCTTGACGTTTTGTGACTACTTTTGATACAGGGCAAAGCATTGTCCGTTGGTATTTATAGGAAGCGCCTCTTGATATCTCCTGAAGATATGGGAAAAAACATTTACTCATTTTATTTACTTCATTTATAGGCCTTTCTTGCTGAGACCCAAGGTGGATTACAAAATATAAACATCAATTAAAACAAACAGCAAAGACATCCAGTAAACAATGCAGTGGGACCAGGATTACGGAACTGGAAAATAATGCCAACAAAAAACTGCCTAAGGCAAAAAAAGGGTCTAATATAATGTATGACATGGCATAATCCAGAAAGTGTTTATTTATTTACTGTATTTATAGTCCGTCTTTCCCACTGAGACACAAAGCAAATTAGACAGTGAAAATCAATAACAGTCCATACAAAGACATATCTAATATACACACTGTAGGTCAATACAACCAATATGAGGAGACAATGAATGAGCATGTGCTATGCCTAGAACTACCAAAACCTGAGTGAGTATAGCATATTAGGCTTGATACAGAGTGTGGATATAATGAAGAAAAATGGTAGAAAACAGTGAAGCAACAACAGTTTGATGACATGCAGCAAACTGATAATACATCCTATACATCATTACCATTCACATTCCCTTTATGAAACACCCTCCCGAGCTATTCTTTTATAGTATAGCCCTATTTCTTTTATAGAAGAGCTCTCCTGAACAACTCTGTTTTAATTTGCTGGATGAAAAGAATGTGGGAGCCTTTGGACAAGCCATTCCACAAGGGAGGGGCACAACAGAGAAAGCACATGTGTGGCTGGTTGTTGATATTGTCTGTTTGCAGGGTGATACCTGCAGAAGGCCCTGAACAGATGAGCAAAGCTGTTGTGGCAGAGCATAGGAGGAGAGGCAGTGCTGCAGATATGAGGGTCCAAGGCCATGCAGGGCTTTGTACATGATAGTCAGTATGTTGAATTGAACCCAGAGCTAATAGTATCCTATCCTAAGCAGAGCTACGCACTTCTAAGTTCCTAGTGGTATTTCAGTGCCTCTCACAGATATGAAGAGGCACAAGATCCTGTCTTGGCTGGTTTCACTCGTCAGTATGTGAAATAATTAAATGGTTAGTATCATGTGTGTTGGTCTTTTTCCTCCCAGCTCTAGTCTCGATCTCCAGGATTGAAATGGGTACATTAAAAAAGCTCTCAAATTAAGTATTCCATCATTCCTAATCAGAATTCAATTCTAGATAACTGTATTAAGTGAATTTTGTTTTAAACCAATAAGTTCCTTAATGTGAAAAATCAGTGCTATTGGACATGAACATGAAGTCTTACTACAAGAAATGCTTTTGGAGAAAAACATATCTTTCTTAAGTATGATCTGATATTAAAATCTAGTACTTCAACATTGGGAATCATAGTAATTGTTTACATAAGGAGGAAAAAATAGGTCTCCACAGATACCCTGTACTAGGTAGTAAAAGAGGCTAAGAAATGATTGATGTAGTACGTGTTATCTTTTATTGATTTAGGCTGGAGCAGGAACTCGGTAACCTAATACCCCATACTGCACGTGCACAAGCTAGCAATTAATATTTTATAGAATAAGTAGCTGGGAAAAATGCTTTAATATCAGCTGCTGTATTACTTTTGGTGTCATGAGATATTAGCCATAATCTAGGTCTTATGAGACTTAGAAGGAAGCATAAGAAATATTAACTGCATAACGCTTTATGTATTGAAAAGAACCTGCAGGAGGGATTCACTTATATCTTTTGAAGTATGTTTATTTCCTCATATACAAGTATACTAAACCTTCTTGCCTTATCCCTTTAATTATGACAATAGTGTTAACCTATATAAAGATTTCATTTTTGTCATGTTAAAAATATCACTTTTTAAATATTATGCTTAACATTTGTTTACCATGATTATTTAAAGGATCGTTTGTCTTCTTGACTTTCCAGCAAGGCATGATATTTTCCCCCACCATTGGGATTTGTTGTTTTCAGTGAGGACATCTCAGCATGAAAGTATTTTCCCCCTCTTTCTGATCAAGAAGGACCTTGCAACAAATGCTTGAATTCAACCAAAAGTAGTATTTTTTCCTGATGGAAAAGTCCTTGTTTCTGTTAAAAGCACTTTTAACTTTTTATTATTGATAGATGAGGCATTGGTTTGTCAGCACGATTAAGTAATTATATAGCAAAGGGAAATTGTAACAACTTTAACATCTCTGTGTATATAAAAATACTATTTACTGTGAATTTCTGGAATTATATAGCATATTTGAGAAGTTTGTCCAGATTAAAAAAACTATATACAAACAGCTGGTACAATATATACAATTATCCAGTTGAAGGTGTGTTAGCTACATTGAAATCTTTGGCTTCTGTTCCCTGTTGTTGGACTTCCAAAAGAACTGGCTGGCCACTTGAGACTGGATACTGGACTAGATGGACCACTGGTCTCATCCAGCAGGGCTCTTCATATGTTCTTACTTGCTTCTCATTTTCCCTTAAGAGTAATAATTATTCCCATATTGTACTTTGGTTCACAAGAAAGGGCATGGATAGACATAGAAAATGAAAGCATCTTAAAAACAACCAACAAAAAAATATTCATTGAATATCTGGATTCTCCCTTTTTTAATGAAACTGAATTTGTATTTTGTCTTGTTTTTAGCGTATTATTTCTTGAAACTCAGCAATTATAAAATATTAATGATTTCATAATCATTTTCTTGCCCCCCTCAACATTTGAATGCCCATGAAAAAATTAGAACGTATAAATCTAGTAATTTCTATAACTATGATGGAATTATTTGTTTTATGGTATTCACATATTCTTATTTGTGAGAATACTTCAACAAAGTAACATACAACAAGGTCATAACACTGCTTATTTTCTTTCAAGTATTGAAAAACTGTATGGTACGTATTTAACTTAGAGAAAAACACTAGATGAAGAGAAAAAAATTAGGTTGGCTCCTAAGCAATGCTCCCTCTAAGCTGTGGGGTCTTGTGAGCAAAAATTCTACTTTGTGAGCTACCAGCAGTAAAGTTGCGAGTGAGCGATTTGGCTGCTGCATAAATTAGTTTGCTCTGGAGCCATCCTTCCTGAGCTAAGACAAAAGTGTGTGAGCCGAAGGCTAAAAAACTGCGAGCTAGCTCACACTAACTCAGCTTAGAGGGAACACTGCTCCTAAGATACCCTTGCTCAGCCAGAAAGCATCTCTGTGCACAGAAGTGGGATTGCACTTGAGCTGCAGCCAACATTATTCCTGAGGATCCTCTGACCTTCACACACAGCTTTGTTTTGGGTATGTGGTACTACAGATGGTGGAGGATGGGGCCAAAGAATCCATTCCAGTCACAATTCTTTGGTTCATCTTTGTGGCTTCTGTGCAGTCCCACATGGGACTGCGCAGTCACAGGCCAGCCACTGGGAGGACCTAGTGAGCTAAAAAGAATTCTCTAGTATCCCAAGAGTGCTAGGCCTCCCTATAACAGACTGATCTTCCCACCCAAAAGTCACGTGATATGGGAGGAGTCAGCAATCTCCCCTCAGTTCATTTTTGTCGCCACATTAACAGGGTGTATATTCAGCAAGCTTATTATCGTGTGTGTTGTTCTGAGGTGAATTTTTTCCCTCTGGACAGTCCTTTCATGATGGCTTTATTTAAGAAATGTCATGAATGCGGGGCTAAAATGGCACAATCTGATGACCACTCATCCTGCATTTTATGCCTTGGTGAAGGCCATAACACCTCATCTTGTAAGGCCTTGACTCCCGGGGCCCAAGGAGGCAGAGCAGCACGCCTCAAGGCCACTCTTTGGGAAAGGACACTCATCACACCAGAAAGTCTGCCTCAGACAGGGCGAGTCTGCCCCGGACAGCTTGGCCGAGAGGCGCACTCATCCACTTTTGGTGAGTTCAGCCCCTCTTTCTACTCATCTACATGAATCCTCTGAGGCTTAGAGTTCTAGGGCAGAATCTGAACCCCCAGGCAAGAAATTGAAAAAGAGAGATAAGAAGCGTGCTCACAAACCGCATTTTCCGCTGTCTCCCATGCAGCGCGGCTTGGATAAGCCCTCAAAATCGGAGTCGGCTTAGTGCCAACAGTCACCATCACCTTGGTGCTATACCCCTACGACTGCTGGATCTTCTTCATGGTCTCTGTGCATCACACCTATGGGATCTAGTGTGCCTGCACTGATCTGATCGGTGTACAAAGCTCACAATGGTATTTTCATGCCTCCTCCCTGAGCCTGTGCGGGAACCCCAACTGCATATGCCCAGGGGGGTAGAGCGCGGACATCCCGCCAGTTCTCTTCTGACCGCCGCACTGTTAGCAGCTTTCATCGGTTGGTGCTTGTTCCTATTCTCCTCACTTCGGGTCAAGCCACCTTCAGGTCACCTTCAGGGCTTTCCTTCCTGATACCGACATCACTCATCGATGCTTCCCCTGTGGGATCATCATCATCACATAGATAAGCATATGGAGCAGAGGTCCATCAGTGGCTATTAGCCACAAGGTATAGCTAGGGGCTCTGGGGCAAGTGATGCTCTGTCTTCTTGGTGCTTGGGGGGGGGGGTCAACAGTGGGAGGGCTTCTAATGTCCTGGCCCCACTGCTGGACCTCCTGATGGCACTGGTATTTCTGGCCACTGTGTGACACAGAGTGTTGGACTGGATGGGCCTTTGGCCTGATCCAACATTGGCGTCTCTTATGTTCTTATGTTCTTATGTACATGCCGTACTGGTTCTCTTCCTACCCTCTTTCGGCATCAATGCCTTGGCTAACGCCTATGAAACTGAAGGATTGGGACCACCTTTCAACCCTACTCCGCTCTCCACATCATCCCTCCGCATCCAAACCACTGAAATCTCCTCCTCTGAGGCAAGTTGCGCCTTGTCTTCCATCGCCTCCTCCACCACCATTGTCAGTTACTCCGAAGGAGCTTCATACATTGCCGATTCCTATCCAGAGGTCTCCATTGCCTTCCGAGGCCTCTCCAGTCACTTCCGATGTTGACCAGTCTGAGGGTGAGATTTCACAGGGAGATACCTCTCCAAAACATAAGGTCTCCGAAGACCTCCCAATCACCCCATCTGAGGACTTGTCTTCTTATGGAGATTTAGTCAAAAGAATAGCTTATTCATTGGGTCTGTCTATCGTCCAACCTCAACCATCAATATCAGACGCAGTTTATGATGTCGTCCAGATGGACACGTCCACAGCGATCTTCCTTCCGATGTCAAAAGTACTCCTACACATGGTGCAGGTGCCCTGGGAGAAGCCCTCATCCGCACCAGTGTCGACACGGAGACTGGATCACATGTATAGAGTGCAAGAGGAAGGAGTTGTTTTTCTACACGTCCATCCAAATCCAAAATCCATGGTTATCTCCTCTTCTTACAGAACTTAGACGCACTCATAAGACTCCCTCTGACAAGGAAAGCAAGAAGCTTGATGCTTTTGGGAGATGCTTTTACTCCGCGGGTGCCCTGGGAATCAAAACATCCAATACATTGTGTGTATGAGTAGGTACCAGTATGCATTATGGCAACAACTTTTTGACATCTTGCCCTTTCTTCCTGAGGACAAAACTCAAGCAGCCCGAACCCTACGAAAGGAAGGCATGGTTCTGACGAAGCAGCTTCTGAATTAGTCTAAGCACTCACTGGATATTTTCTCCAAAACTATGTCTTCAGCTGTCACCCTTCATAGGCACTCCTGGCTGAGAACGACTTCTTTGCCACCTGATACCAGGGCATACATAGGAGATCTCCCTTTTGACGGTGACAGCCTGTTCCACTCCTCTACTGACTCTGCTCTGCAGGACAGGGACAAGAGCATAAAGGCCTCTAGGTCCTTGGGTGTTTCTGCTCCTTCCAAGCCGTACCACCAGCGTTCCTGGTGTCTATATGGCTCCAAATGCCCATTTAACAAACCATCCCCAGAGGGTACCTGGAGACCATATCAGTCACCTATGGGCCATCGCCAACAGTACCAATACCCTGCACGGTCCACATATGGCCCGCAACAGCAACAGTCTAGGGCAAAACCTCAAAAGACTTCCAAACAGGGTCTTTGACTTGCCCCAGATTGCTTCAGGGGCCTCCACCCGCCTTTCCCCATTCCTATCTGGATAGCAGGTCATCACCACAGACTGTTGGGTTTTATCCATCCTAACCCACGGTTATTCAATACATTTTGTGGACTATCCAATGCTGACTGTTTTCCTGGCCACCGCTACCTCTCCCCTCCTTCTCCAGGAGGTCACTTCTCTCTTGGCAAAAGATGCAATAGAACGGGTGCCAAAGGTGTACAAGGGAACAGGTTTTTACTCCTGTTACTTTGCTGTTCC